ACATTTCTTTCATCTAATTCTTGGTACGTTGCTTCTTTTTCTTATCTTCTTTCCTGGTTCCTTATTCCGTTCGTATTTGTTCAATCTAAATAAAATAAAACTTCGCGGCGCTCATTCACTTCTCTTTCTTGCGTTTATTTATTTAAACTGGCCAAATGACTCTCTTCATCCTTTACACCTATGTTCTAATGGTAATTCTCAGTTAGACTTATAGGTATATCTCCGTAATGTAATGTTAGTTCAAAGATAGTACTAGACAAGAGGTCATAAGTTATACCTAAGATTTAATTATAGATGTTCAGGTATATCTTAGTTTTAAATTTAGACCTATAATCGTAGTTGCTAGCTGCAGCATTCCAGCGTGTGTACAGCTCTTGTTCCTCAAGCGATCTGTGACGGGCCAGCTCAGTTTGCAGTCTGCTTCGTCTTCATCAGCCTCTTGCCAGGGCAAAAACAGGACCACAACTATGATGGCGATGACGAAGACGATGATGATGCTGATGCTGAAGATGCTGATGACGATGCTACTGCTGATGATGATGGTCATGATCATGGTGATGCTGATGATGATGATGATGACGATGTTGACGAAGCTGCTGCTGCTGCTGGTGGTTGTGGTGGTGGTGGTGGTGGTGGTGGCGGTGGCGGTGGTGGTGGTGGTGGCGATGATGATGGCGATGTCGATGTCGATGTCGATGATGCTTACGATGCTGATGATGCTGATGACGATGGCAATCCGCTTTTTTCGATAACGATACTGTGATACTCGCAGTGTTTTGACTGCTCTGTGCCACGTTGCTGCAGCTGCTGCCCCTACGCCGGCTACAACCACCGCCAACACCACAACGAGCACCACCACCACGAAGACTGCTACTACGACTGGTCTTCCTACCCTCCCACCTTTACTAGTACTACTCCTCCTCGTCCTCCTACTCCCAGGGGGCTTGGAGGGTGGGAGGAGTGCCGTTATTGACGTCGTTGTTCTACTACCGTTAGGGCACTGGCTTGCTGCTACAGGGAGTTTCCTGCTAGGCGGACCACCTCCACCGTCATCATGATAATAATCGTCATCATCACCGGGGTCATCATCAGAAGCAGCAGTAGCAGCAGCAAGTCTACATATAATGACCGTCGCCACCGTCAACATCATCCTCGACATCATCATCATCATCATCATCGTCCATGACCCTCTCCTCCCGCTCCTCCTGCCCTCCTGCTCATTCCTGCTCCTTCTGCTCCTCCTGCTCCTCCAGCTCGTCCCGCTCCTGCTGCTGACTCCTGCTCCTGCTGCTGCAGCTGCTGCTAATACGGATCTAATACGGTAATACATGGTACTACACTACTACTGCAGCGGGGACGATTACGTACTGCCGCTTCCGCGGCTACGGCTACGGCCACTTCTTGTGCTTCTACTGCTCTTGCTGATGATACTACCACTTCAACGGCCACGCCGTGGCTGCAGAAAGTACGAATGAGGAATGATGACGGAGGCACGAAGGTGCTCTTCGCAGACCGTGCTCATGTTGCTGGAAGTAGCACATGAAGCTGAACCGCAACAGGTCAACAGAGTAGGGCTACGCGGTATTTCGCGGAGTGAACACTTGCAAATATTGGCTGGGCGCAAGACGCAACCTCTGTGTGGCAAGCACGCCCGCACACACACCATCTTGCCAGAACCAATTGTTCAAAGTCCTACATCTTTTGCGCCCTTCTGCAAGTCCCAACCTCGAGCCACCTCAGTGTGAGCTCACGGGAGGGGCCAGATGAGCGCAAATGGCCTCATATGCCAGGGCAACCTGCCGGGCGCGACAAAGCGGCGCGAGCTGCAGGAGTGAGAGGACTGATGGTGACAGAACACAGTTGGCAGCAATGAAGCAATGAGGGAAGCTGCTGAAGAACGGAGACCAACTGTCCTGCTGAAATTCCAGCATCTCGAAACTCGACTCCTGGTACATTCCTACTCAAGTGCCAACGAAATGTCTGGCTCGAGAACTACTTGGATTTCCTTGGAAAGCGGGTCTGTCTCGCTGTTCTGACACTCAGGGTCATTCCTGACGACGACGACGACGATCTGCAGCAGCCTATAGCTCAACCGGATTGAACAGAACTAAACTGAACTGCAATGTCATTGCCGAACTGCTCCCAGCAAACTCGCGGTGGGAAGCCTTTGTGAATCGCTTCTTAGCACCGTCCGGGTCGCCAGGATTCTTGTCTGGATGATGCAGCAAGGCCTTTCTTCGGGCGAGGCCGATGGGAGGGTGGTGGAGTGCCGGGCTTTCATGTTGAGGGTGTCCGGCACGGCTGCTCTTTCAGCGGCGATCCAGATGTGTGGTGAGCAGGTCAAGCCCAGAATCATGCGGCATCCCTGACTGCATCAGGTATGGAAGTGGCGTGTGCCTGCCGACTGTGGGCTTGGCTTCTGGGTGGTTTGCATAATTACCCAATAACAAACGGAATACAGTCCATAGCACGATCGGACCATATCGGACCCAACTAGTAGTGTAAGACAATCTTGTAGTCTATTTCCAATCTCTACATGCGCAGAAGGAAAAAATTGAGATCTCAAGCACCCAGCACCTGTAGCTCAGACCTGGTCTCAGAGTGGCTTCCAAGTTGTAGAGTACGCTGCCTGCCACAAATTATTAGCGCAGCCCCAACTCAAGCCGCAGCTTGGGCGTCGGCGAGCTTCCGGTAGGCTTTCCGCACATCAGCCGCGCTTGCTGCCTGAATTAGAACAATTGTATTCAAGGCTTCGGACCTGAAGTTTCGAGGCCTTGGCATTCTGGTCTCACGCAAGCAATTGCCTCTTATTTGCAGGGAATCCCGGATGACGAGACGAACTCGCGAGCGAACCGGGCCACCCCACTCGACACGTCAAGGCTGAACCCGACTCAAGCACCTCTGTCCACTCAAAAGCGAGAAGCCAGCGTCAATGGTTGCAGGGCCCAGATCCTGCCCCCCATCAGCCCTTAAGGCCCTTAGTGCTTCCAAGACTCTGGCCCAAGATCTAAGATCCGATAAGGCCCACCTTAGGCTGCGATGACCGGAGCTTGCATTGAGCCTTGGGAAGCCCTTCAGTACAAGCAATACGCAGTGATTCCAGAGAGGTAGACAGAAGCGAGCTCCAACGTGGTGGGAATTCTGCTTGGAGGGCAGGCATGCGATGTTGAACGCGTTGAGGAGGGACCCATCTGGGTGTACAGTAGGGCACGAGTTTATCCTGAAAGGTCCCAGACCCAGCACGTGTCACTGAGAGTGCACCCAATCCGCAATCTGCAAGCGGAGGCCCTCAGCTTAAGAAGCCTATAACTAAGGCCCAGACCCGAGCCCCCCTTCGTATTTAGATCTTTTGGCAACTTGAGATGGGTTTGCCCAGAAAGTCAAAAGATTCAAGGAAGTGCGAGAGAAGCAGTGCTAAACCCCAACTTTTCGTGCTGCAGAATGACCGCCAGTCATGCAACTTGGCGCTCTGGAGGCAGCATATCACACCGTTTCGTTGTCTGTAATTGGTCTCAGGATTGATTAAGGCTTGGATGACATCTGTGAGTCCCACCTAGATAAGCAAAGCGCAAGGCTTCAACGTTTCCACTGCAAAATGATGACACTGCAGTCGCATGCCGCAATGCTTCGAGCGGGGGGGATCAAAGCTGGCGGTCCCTTTCTACTCAGACTCACGAAAAATCCAAAAGCAGGCACCGTTGGGTGAGGGACCACCCCCGACCTTTCATAGCAGATGTTTTCTCCACCGGATGATGCGATTGCCAGTGTCGCAAGCTCCTCCAGAGATAGCTTCGGGACTGACTTACTTAGAGTCAAAAACTTTGGCATCTTTGCATGCCAAGACACTGGCACGGCAGGCAGGAAACGACACAGAAGCGGAGGTGACATTAGGGCCGACTGTCTGCCAGTATTTTTGTGTCGAAATCCAGGCAGGGATTATCACGAAATCAGGACAATAACATGACTCGCCGCGACTCGCCCTCACCAGAAGCGAGCCACGCGAGCCTCAACCCTGAAGAGATCTGAACAGTCTGAGCCGAGTTCCCCGCGCAAGTGGCCTGGCTCCTTGCGCCGTGGCGCCTGCCAGGGATCGGATGACCGGAGCGGAACCGGAGGGAGGGCTCTCGGCCGGAGGTCCTCGGCCCAACTCGGCCTCCCCAGTAACCGCAACTTTAGAAGAAAGCTGGACCGAAAAAAAAACACGTGAACCGTCACGTCCGGAGTTTCGGCCTGGAAGGTGCCGGAGGAGCTCGGGCCTTTTGCACTTGTTGACACCTCGCGGCTGCGGCTCGTGTGGAGCCATGCCGGGAGAAAGGGCTTAGTCTGACCCCGCAGACCGGAAGACGGCTATCCGTCCGGAGTGACCGCCGAATCTCACATGTGAGGCGAATTGCAAAGTCGCGGAAGAGCTCTTCATCGCCGGAAGCTCGTTCGCGACGTGCACGCACAGAGGCCCAGAAAGCATCATCCTATGCTTCGTCGCGGCACGGGAAGCAGAGTTAAAGCCGCGGGTTCAGGGTGATTCTGCTTTACCACCCGGGCGGATTCGACTGCATCACGAATGCAACAGGAGGTCCTGCCCCGCCTCATTCCTGCAGCAAAAAGCCAGGAAGGCAAACCGGCCCCGACTGCTTTAGAAGTCCAGCCCGTGGATACCCTGAACGAGTAGCCCAATCAGTTTGGTCCTCTTTTCTCTCTGCCTCCTCACGCAGCGACTGTGCCACCTAGGCAACCAAGAGTATTACAAAGAGTGCTGCACTCAAAAGTCTATGAATCTCGGGTTGTCGACAGCCGCGAAGCCTTTGCCGAGACATAAAATAGGTCTAGTCCTGGAAGTTTGCCTGTCAGACAACGAGAAATCCAGACCCGGCGCTGGGGTGGACCCGGTTTTAGAACCTGACAACCTGGACTTCGAGCCAGTTGAATGCTAGCGTAAGCGAGAGTGAGCATAGTCTGCCTGCAGAGCTTCTACGCGGTCGCTACTTGCCCTTGCCCAGTGCTGTCTTCACGGACCTTCAAAATGCCTCGCCAAAGGCGCCTCTGCAAGGTTCGCAGCCCGACGTGCAGCGGCAGCTGAGGCGCTGGAGCCCGGCGTCGTGGCGGCTTCACCTGACAGCCGGACAAAGCCCGCAAGTGGATCTCGAAGTACTCGAGAGTTCACGCTGGCCTTTGGCCTTCCATGCGTCGTGGTGATCCTTGGTGTCGCATGTCGCCCCATGTGGCTGTTTACAAGGCTTGGCCGCCTGAAGCCTTCAGTATTCGAACCTTCCAGAATCAGGTATGGAGGAGACGAGCAGATTTCTGCGAAGACCAACTGCCGCTGGGCATCCAGTAAAGTCTTGATGTGCGTGAAGCCCTGGTAAGAGGCCTGCATGGCCTGGGCTTCTGCTGGAAAAGCAAAGAGATGCCAGCATCAGGGCCAGGGCGGGGGGTTCAGAGTCTGTAGGACCGCAAATCCCACCATGAGCTCTTGTTTCGGGTTTAGGGTGGAGGAGACCTGGTGCTGGATCCTTTCACAGTGATCCCCTTTCAACCCGCTTGCGCGAGGCCCCAGGGTAGAGGAACCATTTGCTATGAGGCGGGCCTCGCCTATTTCAGGCGGTGGACCAAGCTGTGGATCAATGGCTGCTGCTTGGAGGCAAGTGGGTGGGCTTCGATGGAAATTGTTGTGGAACAGTGCTGTTGGAGTTCAGTTCTTAGGGGGTTGGTGAAGAAGGGTGTCAAAATTTGTTGAGGTTTTTGAGGTGAAAATGGTGCGATGTTGGTAAGTGAGAGCTGTTGGCATCGTTGAAAAGTGGGATGCTGAAGAATTGGAAGCTTCGGGGCAGATGGCTGCCTGGTTGGCATGGTGGGTATGCTCGTTGAGCAAATATGTGATTCGGGGTGTGGGGATGAAGCCGCTATGCTGTTGGAGAAAGTGGTTGGAAAACATGACTGGGGAATTGAGTTTTGCGGTGTGTAAGGCCCTGCGGATGTGTGCTGCCATCAACACCGAAAAAAAAGCAAGGGGCATCATCTAACTGTTCGCCCCAGTCCCTCGACGAAGCGCCTTGAAGGTTTGTGGATGTTTGCGGCCATGCACCACGAAAAACTGACTTCCCACAGCTCTACAAGTAGCTGCCAACTAAACTGCTGTTCTGAGACTCCAAAACACCAACTGCATCCTCAACTTATCTCAACTGCCACTGTCAGGCTCCACTCTGGCTTGGCTTCAGCGTTTGTGCGTGTTCCAGCAACCTCAACCATAGGAGTCTTGGAGCCTGACAATGCCAGCTGAGAGTTGGCTTTAGCCCCAGGATAGCAGTTTAGTTACCTGGCATAATGTAGGCCTAGTTGAACCGCGGACCTGCGAAAACACGGTGACAAGCAGGTACAGTAAAAGACTAGAGAGGTCTTAGATGGCTCCAGTAGCAGCGGCAAGAGGAAGGGATCAACAGCAGCACTCACAGGGGATGGCTTCGGCAAGTACACATGTTCAACCGAACACTTATCGACATTATCGCTCGATACTCGGGTTCTACCACCGAATTTGGGGGCTTCGGAGGCAAGTGCATTTGGGACATGACTCCGATCTAGATCCGATTGCCGCACTTGGAACCGGAGGCCAAATTCTTGAAAGCTAATCCTGCAAAGATGTTATCGCGGTGCCTGCAGTGTTCCCACCCTGGGCTGGTGAGGCTTTTTACGTGACGACATTAAGTCGATCGAGGCACGGCATTCTGCTGCGCAGCATTCTTAAGCGTGGCATCAGCACCCCAGGACAAGAGAAGGTGGCAGATGGAGTCGCGGCCTCAGATCGAGGGCTTCGGGCTTTCAGAGCAGAGGGCTGCGGGCCCGTCTGGAAGGGAGTAGTTACAGCGGAGCAGTGTGGGGCTCCTACCTTTTTGGTGAACTCGTGGGGTCACCCATCCGAAGAAGCCGATCTCCAACCTTCCTCTCCACTTGACGGCCATACCCGTGCGCAGAAAAAAACACATTTACCGGAACTCGAACCATGTGATCCCGGCCTTGATGGGCTGCCCACATCAGCGGTGTGTCGCCGGCCGAACTGGCAGCATCGACATCTGCACGTCCCTGAAGCAAAGCAGTTGCGACGCCTTCGTGTCCTGAGCGGGCCAACCCGTGCCATGCCGGTTTCACTTTTGGCAGTCGCACTGCAGCTGTCGTGGCAAAGCTAAGTGGGTTTAGACGGTTCGTGTGATGACATCTTCCTGCGCATGTGGACAAGCACTTCATGGGCTTTTCTAAAGGACGTCTGCCGTTCCCGCATGTCTCTAAACATGTTGCGGGTTGCAGGGCTCGGAGTTTCAAGCTGACTCCCCAGACCCCGACGCCGAAGCCCAAGAGGGCCTCCGGCCTCTGATGACTGCGAGGTGGAGAGCCGTCAAGCCATCCTCGAGCTGCGCATGGTGTGGGCAAGCATGAATCCGCATGAAAATACTGCAGATTGCGACGTCCAAAAAAGAAGCCCCAATGAAGCGCCGAGACTGAAATCCAACCTTTGTGGTGTCCTCTTCCACCGCGTCCACGACCAGAAGCCGGTCCACTGCTGCAAGGCCTATTTAACATCTAGCGGCATCGTGCGGGCAATTCATTGCAATTCACTAGTTCAGGAGTGCGGCGCCGTGTAAGCAGATGCCAGCTAGGGTTCGATTCCCCAAAACCTCACCAAGAATGTGAAGGTACCCCGCTCAGATTGTCATATCAAGACATGTCCTGAGTCAAAGCCCAGGGTGTAAAGCCTTTAGCACCGCGTCGGACGCATCAGAGCAGGTACACGGAGATGATCAGTCTCCGCTTACCCCGTGGTGGATAATTAGCTTCGTTGGCACAGGTACCACCATTGGCCTGTGCCCCCTGCTGTCGAAATCAGAAAGGAACTGTCAGGTTCCTTATTATCAAACTCAGAAAGAGACTGTCAAGTGAAGACGCTTGGATACAGGGTTTGCGCACACACAAACCAACAAACAAAATTAAACTAAACAAAACAAAACTAAACTAAACAAAACAAAACAAACAAACACACACACACACACACGCGCGCGGAGACGGTGGCTGCAATTTGCGACATAGGCTTTTCGCCAACTATCGTGCAGGATCCGTAATTCCTTACCTGGTACCTTAGTAGTTGTTGTCGTCGTCGTTCTCATCTTCGTCGTCATCTCCACTCCTCATCCACTACTGTAGCCGGCACGACGGCCCCAGGTGCAACGAGGGCGAGAAATCTGGTATGTTGACATAGGCTCCCCGAGGAGATCTTTGTTGACCACCGCTGCTCGGGGGCCCCGGTGGATCCCTGCTGCTAGAAATTGGCGAAACGACGCATCTTTCCAGAAACCTTTAGCTTAGAATCAAGGCTCCCGCGCAGCACCCACACACACACACAAACACACAATGACACACACACACACACAATGGAGACAGAGAGACCCACCCACACCCTCACACCCTCACACCCCTACACCCCACACCCCCACACCCCCACGCCCCCACGCCCCCACGCCACGCGCCCACCCCCACCCACCCATGCACGCATGCACACATGCATGCACACACCCAAAAACACTCACTGACTCAATCCCTCACTCACATCCAGGAAATCCTTCACGAACCGATGCTGGTGCGTCTCGACAAGGCTTTGGCGAACTGTGGTACACTGGCCGCTGTTACGGTCCAGCTGCGTGAAGACCAGATGCAAACGAGATCACGACACGTAGTCGAACATAAACAGGTGCACACGCCCGAAGTTCTCCAAAAATACTCAGTGGGGCCTCGTAGCAGCTTCCGCACTTCTAAGAGCTTGCCGAGGTAAGAGGCCTGCTGGTGCAGTGCCCTCCGAAGCATTCAAGCAAGCCTGACGAAGTAATAAGATCAGGGCCATAGCTGCCCTAGCTCCATGCGAGGCAAGACTCAAGCAATATGAGATCTATTCGGCCTATATGATGCCCAGCTTTGTTTGCATGGAGAATCATGGAGAATAGATACTGCCAACGGCTGTCAGTAGACTCGCTCGGCCGAATGAGTGCTCTGGCAAAGCTCTCATATCCACTCTTCGCGGCCACAATTGCGAACGCAACGGCTTTCACATTCAATAATTCACGGAAGCCCTCCGCTCGTCTTTCAGGCGATCTGTGACCTGTGTAAGCTCTCAAAATCTACTGCCAATAGTGATGTGATCCATTGGCTGACGCACCTTCCGGAGCGATGCGGCCACGCGTAGCCTGTCAGTGCGATTGCAAATTGCCATGACTACAGAGGGTCGAAGCCCAAGTCAAAAGTCTAGCGAGCTGAGAAGACCACGGCAACTCTCACCAGGAGCAGGGCGGGGCATTGAGGGTTTCAAGCTGGGCGAGGCAGACAAGTGAGCTCAGCGCTGCCCAGTCTCAAGTCGAGAAAAAAAAGCTAGTGGCATCGAACTCCGAACAGTGAATTTATTGCTACTTGGTTGGGTTTAAAGTTTTGAAAGCCCCTGGCATGCGCCTGGGGGACATGTGCGCGATGTCAACACATACCGGTAGATGTCTGCACACATCACGGTGCTTACCATGGCTTATTTCTTCTTGCTTCTGCTTACTACTCTTGTAGCAACTGTAAAGGGTGTAGTTTCCAATTTCCTCTCCTGAGAAGCCAAGGGAGGGCGCTAAGAAACATGACTAGTTGAGCATTAGCTTGTGTGCGCGTGCGTGCGTGTGTTCAGAAAGCCTGCGCCGAAGAGCTTGGTTGCGAACTCACACGTGACGTGGAATACTCGTTGCCCTGTCCCGTAACGACTGTTCTCGACAACAAATCGCGGCCTTGCCCGGCTTGCTTCTTCTCCTAGGTGGCGACCAGACGAACAAAAGCACAAGTAAAACGCCCTTGAGCTTTGCCTCGGGTTGTGTGGTGTGTTCCGCCATATCTCACTGCCTGTGGGGATTGCATGTGACGTGGTTCGTGCGGAAGACAGGCCGTAACATGCCGTCGTAACAACATTATGTTTTCAACGTTAGTTTCATGCTTGCTCGACGACATGTTGACGGGTGAAATGGGCAGCAAAAGGCACCAGACCAGCTCCAGTCTTCCCCGTACAATAAACGAAACAAAACTTGTCACCGCCGCATTGGTTGTGGCATTGCTCCCATTTCCCTGCCCTGCCTGTCTTGCGCGGCCTCGGTCTCGGAGGGCAGACGCGCACGCTTGCTCCTTAGATGAAAACTTTAAACATAACGGCTGCAAAGAGGCTTGTATCCTAAACAACCTGAAGCGAAGACAAGTCCTGTCGCGACCCCGAATCTTGTCGTAGACTAGGAGTGACTAGGCGTCACAGCCTCCAAGCCCAATACCGCCCGAAAACTGTTTGTGCCAAGAGTGGCAAAAAGTGGTTCAGCACAGCGAAAGCAGCGGCACTTGAATGGATGGGCTTGCTTTAGTGACAAACTTTACTTTAGTGATAGACAAACAAGCATGGATCACACATGTCTCTCCCCTTCTCCTTCGTATTCCTTTCATGTCTTTGTAGTCCCAGATACACATTCCCAACAGCAGTCAGCACCCACCGCCCGAATAGGTTTGGAATGTGGCTGGTTCGACACACTCTGGCCCAATCGTTTCGCCAAAGCCTGGTCTTGGTGATCCGGACCCTTTGGCGCTCAAAAGGCTTTCTGAGGCAAAGGAGCTTCGAGGCAGCCTCGCTGGCATCCTCGCGCAACAGTCGGATCTTTAGTGATTTCTTCCAAGATCCACCAAAGCTCTCTGTCGACTCTACACATCTCTGGGGGAAAAAACTGCTCCTCGGCAGCTTCTTCCTTCTGCACTTCCTTCAAGAAGGCAGCGAAAGCATCGTCCAGCGACGTCTCTGCCATGGCTCTGCATGGTATGCTGTTGTACAAGTACTAGTACTGGTACCAGTGCTAGTACTAATACCAGTATTAGTAGCAACTACTAAGGTCTAACTGCTAATAGTAGCTGTTAGTAACCTACTTGCTACTAACTGTTACTACTACTACTACTACTACTACTACTGCTAGTACTACTACTACTACTACTACTACTACTACTACTCCTGCTGCTACTGCTGCTGCTACTGCTACTGCTACTACCACTACTGCTACTACTAACACCACCACGACTACTACTACTGCT